ACTGGAGTGCAGTGGCCGCTCCCGGCCACCGCAACCTCGACCTGCTGGGCTCCGGCGATCCTTCCGCCTCACCCTTCCAAGTAGCTGGAACTACAGGCGCGCACTACCACGCCCGGCTAGTTTTTGTTTTTGTTTTTTTTTTATTGTAGAGATGAGGTCTCGCCAAGTTGCCCAGGCGGGTCTCGTACCCGCGTGCTCAGGCAATCTACTCACCTCAGCCTCCCAAAGTCGCGGGATTACAGGTTGAGCCACTGAGCCTGGCTGTTTTTCTTTTTGAGTTGGAGTCTCACTCTGTCGCCCAGACTGGAGTGCAGTGGCCACTCCCGGCTACTGCAGCCTCGACCTACTGGGCTCCGGCGATTCTTCTACCTTAGCCTTCCAAGTAGCCGGAATTACAGGCATGCGCTACCATGCCCGGCTGATTTTTTGATTTATTGTAGAGATGAGTTCTTGCTGCCCAGGCGGGTCTCGAACCCACGGGCTCAGGCAATCCACTCACCTCGGCCTCCCAAAGGCACGGGATTACAGACTGAGCCACCGAGCCCGGCTGTTTTTCAATTTTAAAATATTTTTCTGTTATCTGAGGGGGGAGCCTCTCCCCTCCTCGCTGAGATGACCTCGGTGAATGACACTTTGGTGACCTTGAACAACACATGGTTTATATTTGTCTCAAATAACTTTGTGGAAAAATTGGCCAAAATGCAGGATCTTTTAGAAAACTGGCCACTGCCCCCGAGTCCTGTTTTCCTGGTGATGGTCTGGAATGCCACCTGCAGTGTCTGACACCTGGTGTTTGGTTCTCCCTTCATGGGCTCAGAGGAGAGGAGGCGCCGGGAGCGGGAGGACCAGATGTACCGCGAGCGGCTTCGCACCCTGTTCGTCATTGCGGTCGTCATGAGCCTGCTGAACTCGCTCAGCACCAGCGGGGGAAACATCTCCTGGAACGACTTCATCAATGAGATGCTGGCCAAGGGCGAAGTGCAGCGTGTCCAAGTGGTGCCTGAGAGTGACGTGGTGGAGGTCTACCTGCACCCTGGAGCCGTGGTGTTTGGGCGGCCTGTGAGTGGGGCACGGGCGCTGTGGCAGGGGTCTGGGTGAGAGGCCTAGAGAAGCGGGCAAGTTCCCTTTTCATTTAGGCCCCACCCCCACGTATTTGATTGTCTTGAGAGATACGCCTCTGGAGGTGAGGGGTCCTTGACAACTTTGAGTGGTGGCTCACCAAGATAGAGCCAGGAGTGGTAGCCAGAAAAGGGAGCGGATGCAGAGGTGGTATCAAAGGGTTGCAGATGGCCCTTGGCCCCTCAGCGCCTGGGAGCCATGCACCAAGATGGGGGGTGAGTGATACAGGGGCCACTGGTGACTCCCTGGCATGAGTGAGTCACAGTACATGTCAGCTGCAGCCTTGAGGTTTTGTGGGGTCAGCCAGGGCGTGTGGGATATTGGGAAGCCAGAGGAGGGGTTGCCTGAGGTAGAGAGTGGAGTGATAGGGACTTATCAGGTGGGAATCAAGGCCCACCTGAAGATGAGCAGAGCCAGGAGTGGGAGCAGGTGGTGGGTCATGCACAAGAGGCAAGTTAGCTCAGAGCCAGACCTCAGAGAGGAGAGAAGGGCCGGGGAATCCCATGTGTCAGCCTTGGAGGGCATCCACCAGCAGGAGGAGATACTGGAGAGATGGGTATGAGGTCCAGGAGAGCGGGACTTTGTCTCAGGAGGAGGCTCCAACATCAAAGAGCAAGAAGAGGCACCTTCAAAGTGAGAGCAGCCCAGTGCCCGCACCCTTGGAGTCAGCTGGGCTGCATGGAGATGGGTTCCACTGCTGGACGTGGACATGAACCACCAAGCTCTGCCTTCTCATTTAGGGTTCCCTCCTTGTCTCTCTCCTGCAGTGATCACAGCATCACTGTCAGGCCTAGAAAGTTGATATAAGATTATGTCCAGAACACCCCCCTCCCCCGCCCCTGCCTCCTAGGTGTCTCTGTGTTTTCTTCAGAGTGGTTTTTTGGTTTGTTTGTTTGTTTGTTTTAGGGTTTTTTTGTTCTTTTTTTTTGAGTTGGAGTCTCACTCCATTGCCCAGACTGGAGCGCAGTGGCCGCTCCCAGCCACCGCAGCCTGACCTGCTGGGCTCCA